ACTTCGTTATTTGAAAAGCGAGTTCTGCTAATTAAAAAGGAAGTTCTGTTACTTGAATAGCAGGTTCTGCTCTTTGAAAAGAAAGCTTCGCTTTTTGAAAAGCGAGTTCTGCTATTTGAAAAGGCATTTCTGCTATTTGAAAGGAAAGCTTCGCTATTTGAGAGGGGAGTTCTGCTATTTGAAAAGGAAGTTCTGCTATTTGAAAAGGAAGTTCTGCACTTTGAAAAGAAAACTCCGTTATTTGAAAAGGGAGTTGTGCTATTTGAAATGGGAGTCCTGCTATCTGAAAGGAAACTTCGCTGTTTTGAAAGGAAGTTCTGCTATTAGTTTGAGAAAGAAGTTCTGCTAATTGAAAGAGAAGTTCTGCTATTTGAAAAGGGAGTGCTGCTATTTGAAAGTAAAGCTTCGCTATTTAAAAAGGGATTTTGCTCCTTGAAATGGAAGTTCAGCTCTTTTAAAAGAAAGCTCCCTGCTTGAAAAGGGAGTTCTGCTATTTGAAAAGGAAGTTCTGCTATTTGAAAAGGCATTTCTGCTATTTGAAAGGAAAGCTTCGCTATTTGAGAAGGGAGTTCTGCTATTTGAAAAGGAAGTTCTGCTCTTTGAAAAGAAAACTCCGTTATTTGAAAAGGGAATTGTGCTATTTGTAATGGGAGTCCTGCTATCTGAAAGGAAACTTCGCTGTTTTCAAAGGAAGTTCTGCTATTAGTTTGAGAAAGAAGTTCTGCTATTTGAAAGAGAAGTTCTGCTATTTGAAAAGGGAGTGCTGCTATTTGAAAGGAAAGCTTCGCTATTTGAAAAGGGAGTTCTGCTCTTTTAAAAGAAAGCTCCGCTGCTTGAAAAGGGAGTTCTGCTATTTGAAAAGGAAGTTCTGCTATTTGAAAAGGAAGTTTTGCTATTTGAAAAGTGAGTTCTGCTATTTGAAAGGAAGGCTTCGCTATTTCAAAAGGGAGTTCTGCTATTTGAAAAGGAATTTCTGCTATTCGAAAAGGAAGTTCTGCTACTTGGAAAGGAAGTTCAGCCATTTGAAAGAAAAAGCTTGGCTATTTGAAAAGGAAGTTCTGCTATTTGAAAAGGAAGTTCTGCTCTTTGAAAAGAAAGTTTCTCTATTTGAAAAGGGAGTTCTGCTATTTCAAAAAGGAGTTCTGCTATTTGAAAGGAAAGCTTCGCTAGTTGAAAACGAAGTTCTGCTATTTGACAAAGAAGTTCTGCTACTTGAAAAGGGAGTTCTGCTCTTTGAAAAGAAAGCTTTGCTATTTGAGAAGGAAGTTCTGCTATTTGAGAAGGAAGTTGTGCTCTTTGAAAAGAATGCTCCGCTACTTGAAAAGGGAGTTCTGCTATTTGAAAAGCAAGTTCTGGTATTTGAAAGGGGAGTTCTGCTATTCCAAAAGGGAGTTTTGCTATTTGAAAGGAAACTTCGCTATTTGAAAAGCGAGTTCTGCTAATTAAAAAGGAAGTTCTGTTACTTGAATAGCAGGTTCTGCTCTTTGAAAAGAAAGCTTCGCTTTTTGAAAAGCGAGTTCTGCTATTTGAAAAGGCATTTCTGCTATTTGAAAGGAAAGCTTCGCTATTTGAGAGGGGAGTTCTGCTATTTGAAAAGGAAGTTCTGCTATTTGAAAAGGAAGTTCTGCACTTTGAAAAGAAAACTCCGTTATTTGAAAAGGGAGTTGTGCTATTTGAAATGGGAGTCCTGCTATCTGAAAGGAAACTTCGCTGTTTTGAAAGGAAGTTCTGCTATTAGTTTGAGAAAGAAGTTCTGCTAATTGAAAGAGAAGTTCTGCTATTTGAAAAGGGAGTGCTGCTATTTGAAAGTAAAGCTTCGCTATTTAAAAAGGGATTTTGCTCCTTGAAATGGAAGTTCAGCTCTTTTAAAAGAAAGCTCCCTGCTTGAAAAGGGAGTTCTGCTATTTGAAAAGGAAGTTCTGCTATTTGAAAAGGCATTTCTGCTATTTGAAAGAAAGCTTCGCTATTTGAGAAGGGAGTTCTGCTATTTGAAAAGGAAGTTCTGCTATTTGAAAAGGAAGTTCTGCTCTTTGAAAAGAAAACTCCGTTATTTGAAAAGGGAATTGTGCTATTTGTAATGGGAGTCCTGCTATCTGAAAGGAAACTTCGCTGTTTTCAAAGGAAGTTCTGCTATTAGTTTGAGAAAGAAGTTCTGCTATTTGAAAAGGGAGTGCTGCTATTTGAAAGGAAAGCTTCGCTATTTGAAAAGGGAGTTCTGCTCTTTTAAAAGAAAGCTCCGCTGCTTGAAAAGGGAGTTCTGCTATTTGAAAAGGAAGTTCTGCTATTTGAAAAGGAAGTTTTGCTATTTGAAAAGTGAGTTCTGCTATTTGAAAGGAAGGCTTCGCTATTTCAAAAGGGAGTTCTGCTATTTGAAAAGGAATTTCTGCTATTCGAAAAGGAAGTTCTGCTACTTGGAAAGGAAGTTCAGCCATTTGAAAGAAAAAGCTTGGCTATTTGAAAAGGAAGTTCTGCTATTTGAAAAGGAAGTTCTGCTCTTTGAAAAGAAAACTCCGTTATTTGAAAAGGGAGTCTGCTATTTGAAAGGAAAGCTTCGCCGTTTTAAGAGAGTTCTGCTATAAATTTGAAAAAGAAATTCTGCTATTTGAAAGAGAAGTTCTGCTATTTGAAAAGGGAGATCAGCTATTTGAAAAGGAAGTTCTGCTAGTTGAAAAGGAAGTTTTGCTATTTGAAAAGGGAGTTCTGCTATTTGAAAGGAAGGCTTTCCAGTTTGAAAAGGGAGTTCTGCTATTTGAAAAGGAAGTTCTGCTATTCAAAAGGGAAGTTCTGCTATTTGGAAAGGAAGTTCAGCCATTTGAAAAAAAAAAGCTTGGCTTTTTGAAAAGGAAGTTCTGCTATTTGAAGAGAAAGTTCTGCTTTTTGAAGAGAAAACTCCGTTATTTGAAATAGGAAGTTGTGCTATTTGAAATTGGAGTTCTGCTATTTGAAAGGAAAGCTTCGTCGTTTTAAGTGAGAGTTCTGCTATTAATTTGAAACCGAAGTTCTGCTATTTGAAAGAGAAGTTCTCCTATTAGAAAAGAAAGCTCCGCTATTTGAAAGGGGTTCTGCTGTTTGAAAAAGAAGTTCTGCTGTTTGAAAAGAAAGTTCTGCTATTTGAAAAGGAAGTTCTGCTCTTTGAAAAGAAAACTCCGATATTTGAAAAGGGAGTCTGCTATTTGAAAGGAAAGCTTCGCCGTTTTAACAGAGTTCTGCTATAAATTTGAAAAAGAAATTGTGCTATTTGAAAGAGAAGTTCTGCTATTTGAAAAGGGAGATCAGCTATTTGAAAAGGAAGTTCTGCTATTTGAAAAGGAAGTTTTGCTATTTGAAAAGGGAGTTCTGCTGTTTGAAAGGAAGGCTTTCCAGTTTGAAAAGGGAGTTCTGCTATTTGAAAAGGAAGTTCTGCTATTCAAAAGGGAAGTTCTGCTATTTGGAAAGGAAGTTCAGCCATTTGAAAAAAAAAAGCTTGGCTGTTTGAAAAGGAAGTTCTGCTATTTGAAGAGAAAGTTCTGCTTTTTGAAAAGAAAACTCCGTTATTTGAAATAGGAAGTTGTGCTATTTGAAATTGGAGTTCTGCTATTTGAAAGGAAAGCTTCGTCGTTTTAAGTGAGAGTTCTGCTATTAATTTGAAACCGAAGTTCTGCTATTTGAAAGAGAAGTTCTCCTATTAGAAAAGAAAGCTCCACTATTTGGAAAGGGGTTCTGCTGTTTGAAAAGGAAGTTCTGCTGTTTGAAAAGAAAGTTCTGCTATTTGAAAAGGGAGTACTGCTATTTGAAAGGAAACTTCGCTATTTCAAAAGCAGTTTTGCTATTTAAAAAGGAAGTTCTGTATTTTGAAAAGGGAGTTCTGCTATTTTAAAGGAAAGCTTCCCTAGTTGGAAAGGGACATCTGCTATTTGACAAGGAAGTTCTGCACTTTGAAAAGAAAGCTCCGCTATTTGAAACGGGAGTTCTGCCATTTCAAAAGGAAGTTCTGCTATTTTAAAAGGAAGTTCTGCTATTTGAAAGGGGAGTTCTACTATTTGAAAGCAAAGTGTCACCATTTTTAAAAGGTAGTTCTGCTATTTGAAAAGGAAGTTCTAATCTTTGAAAAGAAAGCTCCGCTACTTGAACAAGGAGTTCTTGTGACGAATTTAAATCCGCCTGTGTGGGTGTCGGCAAATATAACTTCATATACAAAAAAAAATTAAAATATATTTTTCTATAATTTTGTTTGATATAACTAAAACTAAAACTATCACAGTGTGAATCCTATACTATTGTTGTTAACTGTCTCTCAAGCTACGATACTTGCGTCCTTTGGCGATTTGTTCCTTCCCGTTGTTTCTTCAGCTAGTCCTGACAATCCCGATTTTCAGAGCGCTCGTTAAGTTTACCAGGGTTTTGATAACGGTGCTCGCTTTCAATTCCACTACACCGATCTCCAAATAACTTCGTCTTCACACGTTTACAGCTGAGTGTGTTGCTCAAGTCACTAAAGACTATACCAGAGCGTTTGATCATTGAAGACCCTCGTAGTGTATTGCTCAAGTGACTGAAGTCTATACCAGAGCATTTGATCATTGAAGATCCACCTTTCCCATATAATGTAAAGTGCGACGTTGATAACGTATATTTCTTTCGTTTTACTTTATCAAGTTATTTTATCAGTGTGTAGACCACTCCTTAATCGGTTCTACTTCAACACGAGTTCGTTCCTTCTGCTGCAGTGTCTCTCTGATTATCGCCTTTTATTCTCTCGCAGCTTGATTACATATTCTATACGCATATGATTTATTATTCTAATGGATCCCAGGGCTACACCTTCCCAACAAAGATCATATTACGTATGTAATAGATCCCAAAATTTTTTATACCTAATTATTTACACCCTACTTCTCTTTTTTTCTTTTTTTTTTACAGAAAGTTAACAAGAACAATTCGAATGGAAACGTACCTGAGGGGGAGATAGGAAACGAACTTTCCCTTGGAACAGAACGATCGAGTTGCTGCATTTCGAAATCTTATGGCATTCTACTAAGCGCATCCACATTCACATGCTTCTCTCCACACTTATGTTCTAATTCGATGTCATATTCCTGAAGGGTTAAACTCCATCGCAGTAATTTCATATTCTTGTTTTTAACCTGGTTTAACCAAACTAAAGGGTTATGATCCGTTTGAAGGATAAATTTTCTTCCAAACAGATAATACCTAAATATCTCAACTGCCCAAACTATCGCTAAGCACTCTTTCTCAGTTGTAGACAACTTCATTTCTTTAGGCTGTAACTTCCTACTGGCAAACACAACAGGGTGATCCTGACCTTCATTATCTAACTGACAAAGTATGGCTCCTACACCATAATCTGAAACATCCACTTGTAAAATAAACAATTCATCCCAATGATGGGGCCTTAGAATTGGGGGAGACTTCAAAAGAGATTTTAATTCATTAAATGCTCTCTCACAAGCAGCCGTCCATCGTACACGTGTAGGCTCAGTTTTTTTCGTCAGGTTAGTCAAAGCCAAAGGAATCGCAATATCTGCATAGTTTTTTATAAACCTACGATAGTACCCAGTAAGTCCCAAAAATGAACGAACTTGTTTCTTGGTTTCAGGTCTAGGAAATTTCTCTATGGTACTTGTTCGCGGGCGCTCTCGTTTTCGTACGTTTCGTAACGCATCTCGAGGTTTTATAGTGTCCCTACCAACCCGGTGACCAACAAAATCTACAACGGCCTTAGCGATCTTACATTTAGAGGGCCTTGCACGCAATTTAGCTTTACGTAATCTTTCGAGAACTTCCCTAAGATGTAATATATGTTCTTCAAAAGTTGTATATGTATACCTCCACATCGTCAATATAAGCGTCGGCAAAGGATTCCAAGTCCTGTAATACTTTATCCCGCATCATTCGTTGAAAAGTGGCGGGTGCCGTTTTCATGCCAAAAGGCATAACGGTAAATTCAAATAAACCTCGGGGGGTAATAAATGCTGACTTGGGAATTGCTTGATCGTCTAAAGGAATTTGCCAATACCCTTTAGTTAAAGGAATAGTAGAAATAAACTTAGCTTTAGCAATCTTTTCGAGCATTTGATCTGTGCGTGGCATAGGGTATGCGTTCATTTTGGTTACGCGATTTAATTTACGATAATCGACACAAAATCGAATATTTCCATCTGGTTTTGGAACTATTACTACAGGCGATGCCCAAAGGCTAGTTGAGGGTCTAACTATCCCTATTTCTAACATCTGATCCAATTCTTTATTCACCGCATTAACTAAACTTTGTGGAATCCGATATGGACGGCCGGAACGAATTGGACTATAGCTTGACCTGTATCAATACTATGAACAGCTACATTTGTCCGACTCGGAATATTTGAGAAAATGTCCGAAAATTCCTTGAGTAATTCCCAAACCTTTGCCGTTTGTGCCCCCACTTAATTCCGATGAAATTTCGACGTCTTTCCACGTCTCCTCCTTTTCAACAGAGGGAAAACTATGCTCATGCGATAAATGTTCAGGAAGAGGTCCCGAGGGAGCAAAACTACTTATTTCTTCTCTGGTTTTCCAAAGCCTTAATAGATTTATGTGATAAGTCCGTTTTTGTTTTCGCCCCTTTTCTCTATCTAATTCATAATTAATTCAAGCCGTTCGTACAAACGTTAGTGACAGTGTAAGGACCCTGCCATTTGCTTTCGAGTTTACTCCCAGGCGTCGGTAACAATACCAATACTTTATCGCCAATCTGAAATTTCCTATGCGAACTTTTCTGATCATAAAGCTTCTTTTGTTTGGCTTGACTCTTTTTAGTATTTTCATGAACAATACTTTGCATTTGATTTAATCGTCGTCGCGCTTCTAACACATAACTTATCGCGTCTTTGGGAAAAGATTTTTTGCGAACCCAAGTTTCTTTAATCAGTGAGAAGGGCCCACGTACACTCCTCCCATATAATAATTCAAACGGCGAGTACCCAGTCGACTGACACGGAACTTCGCGATAAGCAAACAATACATACGGTAAATACTTATCCCAGTTATCAATTTGATCCGCTACAAATTTCTTAAGCATATGTTTTAAAGTGCCGTTAAATCTCTCAACGAAACCATTAGCCTCTGGATGATAAACCGACGTTTTAGTATTCGAAATACCCAATAATTCGTACAACTGTCTCATCAGTTGTC